GCTTTATACCGAATCTGTCCTCCTTTCTCTTCCGGGCTGAGCCTGGCTCTTCCCATGGGGGTGGGGGGTGGGGGGGGTGGAGAGGGATGACAACAACTTCTGCATTATTTGCATTGCTCTGTGCCTCCTGCTATTTGCCTGGCTCCTCCGAGAGGTCTTCCTTGTCCACCCCAATCCAGCAGAAGGCCTTCTAGTCGCCCTGTCTTATTTTCAATACAGAATTTGTTACTAAGAGTATTTTGTTTATTCATTTATCTCTGCTCTTTGAAAATTTAGTTTCTGTGGCAGCAGGGATCTTGTCTTTTGGTTTACTGCCATATCCTCACTATTCTGAGTAGTGATACATAGTAGTTATTTAGTAAAATAATTTGTATTTGTTTGGATTGCTGATCAATATCCTCTGTACATTTTACCATTCAGTCTTAGTTATTTCTAAAAGCTCTATCTCTTATAATTTGTCGTCTTATTCATTGCAGCTATTGTGGAACAGGAAATGAAAAAGGACTGGCTTTTTGCTCCTCACTATCGTTACTATGTCAGAGAAATGAGAATTCATGCATACAGCCAGCTGCTGGAATCCTATAGGTCATTAACTCTTGGCTATATGGCAGAAGCCTTTGGTGTTGGTGTGGAATTCATTGATCAGTAAGTATAAATAATAATATGTTAATGCATATCTCTTAAAGTTATTTAATGTCTCAACTTATACATTTTCTCCATTTACATTGCTTCCCTCAATTATAAAAAAAAAAAATTTTCTCTAAACATTATCGGAATAATCATCTGTCATCTGCCCTCATGATGTGCCCTTTTTATTAACAGCTGGGAATACTGAGTTGTAGAGTGGTTAAGTCAGACCAGGTGTTATGACAGGAGTATTCTGTCCCTTCTTTGTGGACCACACTGCTGTTAATGGTGATGACTCCTAGAGGCCACTCTCATGTTTCACATTAAGGTCATATTTTCTCTGATAATGCCTTCATTGTTTTTGGTTGCTGCTGCAATTCTGGTTACATTAGTTGTTAAAGATGGGACTTTTAGCCCTTAAATCAATGATTCATCAAATACTAAGCCATTACTGTATGGTTGGCATTGTTTAAAAGTAAGGTCCTTGTCGTCATGGACTTGAATATTTGATGCTTTTTATATGGGGAGAGTTAGCAAGTAAGCAAATAAATACGTAAGGTAATTTCAGATAGAAATGAATCTTGAGATAATGCAACAAAAAGATGCGTGTGGCTGCCATGGAGGTAGTGGTGGGGGAGGGGCAGCAGTGGGAGACTCAGGCACGTGTACATTTGTGCAGGGCCTGGTAGGCCATGGTATGGAGCTTGGGTTTTAATCTAGGTCCTGTGGGAAGCCATTGGAGGATTTTAAGCATGCGTGATCAAGCATGAAACCCTGTCTTACACAGACCTCGAGGGGACAGGGAGACTTGGTGGGCTGTTGAATACAGGAGCTCATGGAGCAGCTATTATGGTGGCCTGGACTAGGGTGGTGGGAGTGGAGTGTGGGAGACTTACACAGAGTATGTGCTTTCCTTAGTGTATCTGGATCCGTGGTTCCCAAAGATAGATCTGTTAAGTGCTGGTGGTAGTTTTCAGTGGCCCCAAATGAAAAAGATGGTCATTTGGTAAAATTCAGTGATGGTATATTTCATTTAAAAAAAAAAAAAATTCTCTTTTTAGGGGTTTGATCTTTCTAATTTATTATGAAAAATTTCAAACATGTAGGAAATTCTAAGGAAATAGTGAATTCCCATAAGTGATTGATTCTATAATTAACATGTTGTTGTATCTGCTTTATTACATATCCTGTTTTTTAACCACTCCAGAGTTTCAGACACCAGTACATAAGATCTATGTATAACCTAAACTGTCTGGCAATCACCACCAGGAATCCCCTTATTCTCTTCCTTTGAAAGAAAAAAGGCAGTGATAGTTTTACATCTTAAAAATTATCCTTACCAAAATAGAAGGCTGGTCTTCCTAGGTTAGTTTTATTTTGGAATTGAACTAATTTTTGAAATTTAAGTCTGGTTACCACTGCCCAAGAGAGCTGGTTACTGGGATGGGGGATGGCCATTATGAGTGTGATTCTCATGACTCAGGGGAACGAGTGGCTTACCGTGGTGAGCAGTGCATGAAGAACAGGGTTGGCCTGGCTCCTTGTTCTAGCTCTGCCACTGAATAGCCCTGTGGCCTTGGTCTGGTTCTGTCCCTTCCTCAGTTTCTTAATTGTGCCTTGGAGGTGATACAGCTTTCACTACTTGGGGGCCATTTGAGGCTCACATGAAATTTTGGGTAAGATGAACTAAAGCAGGAACATGTCACTTAGACATACTGCAGCTTTCTTGTAAGTCATTACAATGACTTCTGCATTCCAGACGTGGTTTATTTCAGGTGGTATTTCAGTTTTTTCCCTTTATGTTTGCAGACCAGCTCTAAAGGCAAAAGTTGTATAGAGCTCTAATTGTTACCTAAGATCTTGTTTTAAATTTCTGATACCCAGTTCACATCTGGGTTTTCCCAGATTCTTTTTCTCCTCCCTTATAAAAATCATTTTAGGTGAAATCCTTTTTTAAGGAGGGTCTGATTTGGTAAGTTGAACATAATTCTACACCATTCTTCCACTTCTCTACTTACTTCCTTAGACTCAGTAAGATATTGTCGGGAGAATAGGAAGGGTCCGTTATTTGAGGAAACGCTACTGTTGACAGGTTTAAGGTTAGAAACCCATGCACTGTGTTACACAACTTTGTTGGTAGGTCTTCTGTTTGAAACGGATGCAAATCTGATTGGTAGGTTGGTTGTTCAGTAAATACTCGGGTCATCATTACTGCATACCTTCTGTGTATGAGCCACCACGCTCAGGGCTTGGAGAAATCATGGCTGGGGAAGATGAGTCATCCTGGGATGTGTTTGATTGGCACATAGGGAGATGACAAGTGGTTTGGCTCTAAAGCTGGGAATGGGACTTGAATGGAAACATAGGACATTTGGAGTTAAATTTTGTTGTTGTAACCAGAAAGGAAGCTGTGCCCAGATTATTCTTGATGCGTATAGTTCAGAATGAGCATACCTAGAAGTCTGTATCTGATTGAAGTGCCCGAGAAATGGACACATCCACAGATGCCTTCTGGTGGACCTGTAGACTGGATGTTGCTGCTTTAAGATTTTTTGTAAGAAGCTAAGGAAAAAAGGGCTTTCCCAATGGAAGAAATAGCACAGATACATGTTTTTGAAACCAGTAGCCTAGTTGTACTGGATAGAGTGTGTGGCAGTATGTACAGGAACTGAGATAAGCAGTGCTTTAAGTGCCAGGCTCTCCTCAAGTAGTCTGGGCAGAGGTTACGTGAAGGCCTCAAGTCCAGCGATGCCGGCGCGGGCAGCAGCCTCGCCGTCCGCCTAGGTGTATGGACAGTACGGCTCTTAGAATGGGGTAGTCCGTCCTCACCTCAGCAGAGGGCGTTCTTGAGTCAGAGTGCATCCCTGGAGCTTCTTTGTAAGTCAGAACCACTTTCAGAGGTTTCCCCCGTCTCAAGTTTAGGGTGGGACTAGGAAGGCTTTTAGATCTTGTATGATTTTCTCTGTGAACCTCAGTCCCGGAATAATAGTTGCAAATGGGTTCCCTGTGGAGATGGAACTATTTAAGTGTCTGGAAAATGAACCCAAGTGTAGAAAGCCACCCAGTAAAAGAACTCAAACAGTTGAAAAAGACTGGACACTGTAGCAACTGGATCGAAATATATTTTGACGGGGAGTATAGAAATAGGGCATGCTCTGTAACTGAACAGTGCTTGCTAGTTTAGGATGACCTCCAGCTTAAGATCTTCCAATAGCAGTAACTTTTTTGTGTTCAGGCTTTTTGAAGCTCATAACCAGATTTTCCAAAATTATACATTTCCTTATTAAAAACACTTTATTAAGAAGAATGAGAAAGCATTAAGAATTAGTTCCTTTTTTTTTTGGACACAACTAGTTGGGTCTTTTCACCACTGACTACTGGGGCAATTAGTTATAATACTTGACACTTTTAAAGCACAAATCCAAGTAACACACTTTCTCATCTAATTATATTACTTGCTCTCCAGTAAGTGTGAGACACGGTGTTTGTCTCTGACTTTCCTCAACATTCCATTATGCTTTGTTCTCCCTAGAATGATGGCATTTCATTATAGCTTTAATTTGCATTTTTAATGAGTAAAATTGATCTTTTTTGTGTATGTATTTTGCCTCTGTTTTTAAATGAGCCTTTTGTCTGGAATTCCCCCCCCTCCCATTTTTTCCTGCAAACATCTTCTATCCACGTTGTCGTTTAGTTTGTGACTTGGTTTTGGTGGTATTATCCTATGTGAACATTCTCTGTATGTAACCAGATTTATCAGTTTTTTTCCTAGGATTTGTCTCAAAGCAGCCCTTTCCCGTGGATTTCAAATGGCACTTTTGTTGTTTATGTGCTAGGATCAAGATGTTTTAGTATCTGGGAGAGTAACTGGTCATATAATTTTTAAATTTAACAATTCTATTACAAGCAGATTTTTATTTTAAAGCAGTCATCTTTCCATGTAAAGTCTTCATATAGCTAAAGTCTTCATATAGCTCTTGTACATTTTTAAGCATTTACTTTTTTTCCTCTTTGTTGGTAGACAATCTTTGATAGTGTTTCATTACTCATGTGTAAGCATGTTCTACCTATCTTAATTTTGAGGTTTGGGTTATGACTGTACATAGATATTCAGAAATACTTTTTCACAGCAGATTAATATCAGCTGTGTATTCCTGATCCTTATTTCTTGTGGCATATTCTTAATTTGAAAATCCTGAGCATCATCTGCTGTTTCATTATTTCCTTTTTATTTTTCTGCCTCCAAGTTTTTCTCTGAAGCTTTAAAGATGTGCTTACGAATGATTTCATTCTTTGATACGTACACTCAAATATGAATTTGCCGTTTATTCCAGTAAGTGATTTAATCTTCTGGGATGATCCTGCAGTATGCCCCCGACGATTGTCCCAGCTGCTGCATAGTCAAAAGCGCAGGCGGGAAGCCAACTGAATGTTACCTTGAGAGGAGTGGAAGCATGTATTTAGTGCAGTTTAAGAATTTTGTGTAAGACTCATACTCTAATGCCCTTCTGTCCCCCCCCCCCTCTTAATTGTAGGGAGCTGTCCAGATTTATTGCTGCAGGGAGACTACACTGCAAAATAGATAAAGTAAATGAAATAGTGGAGACCAACAGGTACTGCTAAGTTTGTACGTCATTTGTGTGTTAGAATAAGGGGCATTCTTTTAAAAGTAGGTCGACTCTTGTTATGGAGTAATGTGACTGGTAAATAATTCATTTTTTTCTTGAATTTATTTATAGGCCAGATAGCAAGAACTGGCAGTACCAAGAAACTATCAAGAAAGGAGATCTACTACTAAACAGAGTTCAGAAACTTTCCAGAGTAATTAATATGTAAAACCATGTAAACAAAGGATTTCCTTTAGAGATAACTATTTGGAATTTTTATAGTTTACTATGTACCCAGTTCAGCTGTATAAAATAAATATTGCATTGTTGTTCCTGTTTCAATTTATTTTTCTTAATATATCCCCCTTTTAAGGATAGGGACCAGTAATGTTAAAATAAGGTCATTTTATGTCATTTGAGACTGTAATCCGAGACTACAGTGCCTGAGTTCAAATCAGTAGGGATAATACAAACCCTTCATATCTTACCCAAGTCTCCTGAATTTTAGAAAGAGTACATGCCATATAGTAGTCCATAACTAAACACTTAGGAGGCAACCATAACCCTGGATTCCAGAATCTGCCAATCTCACCATTGCTTAAAAACAACCACAAAAAAACCTATGTTGATATTGGCAATGGGATCTTTTCCCCCCAGCAAATAGAACTACAGTAAGGAAAACAAAGTTGTTCCTTGTTTTTCTCTTAATTATAATATAAGCTCGGTGAGTCAGATGGGGCTAAGTGCTAGAAAAAAAGAAATCTAAAACCGGATAAAGGGGAGAGTGAGGTAGGGTGTGATGAGCTCTCCCATGGGGTGTCACAGAAGGCCTCTGCTAAGGTGACATTTAAATAGAGGAGGAACATGCAAATATCTGGGCAAAGAAAGAGGGAAGGGCACTGGAGGTTTTAAGCCAAGGAATGGCCTTTGACGTGTCACCGGCTGGAGGGGATGCCTGATGATGGTGTGGACGGGGCAAGCAGCCGACTTTGCTGAAAGATTAGAATGGGGGGGCGGGGAGGGTGAGGAAAAGTTTGGGATGACCCCAAGCTTTTTGGATGCTGACTCTGACAAAGCCATCTGGGTAGAGCGGAGTTAGAATGGGAGGGGCGCCTGGGTGGCTCAGTCGTTAAGTGCCTTCGGCTCGGGTCATGATCCCAGGGTCCTGGGATGGAGCCCCGCATCGGGCTCTCTGCTCCGCGGGAAGCCTGCTTCTCCCTCTCCCACTCTCCCTGCTTGTGTTCCCTCTCTCTCTGTCAAAGAAATAAATAAAATCTTTAAAAAAAAAAAAAAGAATGGGAAATGGCATTGTACTGTAAAAGGAAGGGGAGAGAAGTCTGCTTTTGTAGTTTACATGCTGTTTTAGTTATGGGCCGATCAGAATGATTGATTAACATTAGAGAAGAAAGCCTCTCAGTCGATGGAAAATAATGTGATACAATTCAACATTCATTCATGATAAAAAACGTAAGTAAACTAGAAATCATGAAGGTTGGGAAATCAAAGCACGATTCCAACGATACAGTTCACGACCGTGCTAGCGTCAGTGTGGTGCTTGGGGGGCGGGGCAGGGGGTGACCGCGCTCTCCTGCGGGCGCCACGGTGGATGGCAGGCTAGTTAATGCTGCATAGGCCTTAAGCATTGGAGAATATCCACTTACGGATCCCCGAAAATGCTTATTTATAAAACCTTAACAATAATCACTATAATTTCTTGAAGAAAATGTGAATATAAGTATTCTAAACCCATGATCCTGAAAATCAGGGCAATTTTAAATCCAACATGTAGTCATTGAGAACTGTGTTCCTTGGGTCCGTTCAAAAATGAGAATTCTGTTCTTAGCAAATTGACTCATTGCAGTTCATGCTAAAGGGAAAAAAGTAGGATTGAAACGTCAGTTTCTTAAAATAGCCCTTTCCCTGGGCTCCCTCCTCTAAGACCGCCGGGACGGATGTGATCACAGAGCAATTCTGGCTTTTCATTGAAGGCTTAGACTAACTCCTGGTCTAGACAGGGAATTCTCAAAACACTTTTTTTTTTCCCCTCTGCTTGCTTAAAATGTACTTGATTTTATTTTTCTTTCACTATTTCAGCCCAACTTGTCTAAAATTAGTAGGCGAGGGTGATAGGTAAGGGAAGCCAAAAGAAACAAGTGCTATCCATTCCGAGTTCAAGATAGGGAAACTGAAAACTCCAGAAGCTGATAACTTACTTATGAGGGAAACAATACAGTTTTGAGGTGATGGAGTCCATTTTTTCCTTTTTTTTTTTTCCTGAAAAAGAATGTGTGCTCATTGCAAAAGAAATTGAAGATACTAAGTAAGGTAGATGGCCTTGTAGTCCCACCCAGCAGGGACAGCTACTGTCAACATTTTCATGCTTGCCACATTTAATACTATACAAATGTAGTTTTTAATACAAAATTGGAGCCTTTGTTACATGTTGTTAATAAGTTATTCTATGCAATTACAAATCCCAGCGGAACACTGCTAGCCTAGAAGTATCAGTTTGGAGGTGAAAACAAAGTTCGAATGCAACACATCTCTTTTTAAATGAGGCCATACGGTATGGGAGAAACAGCACTGACAGGAAGGCCAGAAAAACCAAATCCTGGTCCCAGCTCTCCTCACACTAGCTGCCTGATGCAGGGAGAAAGGCCTTCATCTCTGGGAGCCCCTCCCCCGCATCTGCAGAGCGGGGGAGCAATCAGACTCATGCAGTTCTGTGTGTGAAAACACTAACACACTGAACACTGAAGCAATAGTACTAAAATATTTCTTAGTACACTGAGTGTTAGTAAACTACTGTCACATACGATAAATAAATTGGGCCACCTCAGCCAACTTTTATAGAATAAGCTGAAAACGGAGTTTTTTGTATTTGATCGAGATTAAACTGATGTTTTTAACAAACTTAACATTTGTTACGTAATTATGGAATGCTAACGTCTGCTTTATGGACAGGTAGAGTATTTTAAACCCAATAAAAAGCTTGTCAAAGACATTTTAGGTCCAGGCCCATGTTTCCACAGGTAGGGATCAAAAAAGCTCAAAAGGGGGCGCCTGGGTGGCTCAGTCGTTAAGCGTCTGCCTTCGGCTCAGGTCATGGTCCCAGGGTCCTGGGATCGAGCCCCGCATCGGGCTCCCTG